GCGTCAAGGAAATCCCTCCAGGAAGCCTACGACGAAGGCTATCGCTCCATCGCCGTCTGCCTCATGCATAGCTACACCTTCCGCGACCACGAGGCCGCGATAGCCCAGCTCGCCGCCGACATTGGCTTCACCCACATCTCCCCCAGCGCCGAGCTCTCCCCCGTCGTCAAGATCGTGCCGCGCGGCAACTCTTCCACGGCGGACGCCTACCTCACGCCCGAGATCAAGCGGTATATCGCTGGCTTCGAGGCTGGCTTCGAGGACCTGGGCACCAGTGGGTGCCGCTGCGAGTTCATGCAGAGCGACGGCGGTCTTGTCGAGTTCTCGGGCCTGTCTGGTTTGAGGGCGATCTTGTCGGGCCCTGCTGGTGGTGTCGTTGGATACGCGAGGACGTGCTACGATGAGCTTGACAAGACTCCCGTTATTGGGTTTGATATGGGCGGTACGAGTACCGACGTCTCGAGGTATGTCACCGACACATCTGTTGATAAAAAGCAAATTCTAATGGGAAATCTAGATATGCGGGCGAGCTTGAACAAGTATTCGAGACGACAACCGCAGGTGTCATGGTCCAGACGCCACAGCTGGACATCAACACCGTTGCAGCGGGCGGCGGCAGTATCCTGAGCTGGCAAAGTGGCATGTTCAAGGTCGGCCCTGAGAGCGCCTCAGCACACCCCGGTCCGGCTTGCTATCGCAAAGGCGGTCCCCTTACCGTCACGGACGCAAACCTCGTCCTCGGCCGTCTGCGTCCCGAGTTCTTCCCCAAGATCTTTGGTCCCAATGAAGACCTGCCCCTGGATGTTGATGCCAGCAGGCGTCTGTTCGAGGAGCTCACCGCCAGCATCAACAAAGATGAGAACACGAGCCTCAGTGTGGAGGAAGTTGCCGCAGGGTAAGCAATACTTCATTCCCCCTATTGCAAAGTTATATTAACATCCCCCAGCTTCCTTGACGTCGCCAACGAGTCTATGTGCCGCCCAATCCGCACCCTGACAGAGGCAAAGGGCTACGACGCCGGCCTCCACAACCTCGCCTCCTTCGGCGGCGCCGGCGGCCAGCACGCCTGCGACATCGCCAAAACCCTGGGCATCTCCCGCGTCCTCGTCCACAAGTACTCCTCCGTCCTCTCCGCCTACGGCATGGCCCTCGCCGACGTCGTCCACGAGGAGCGCTCCCCCTGCGCCCTGACCTACTCCGAGGCCAATCTCCCCGTCTTCGCCGCCGAGCTCGACAAGCTCGTCGCCAAGGCCTCCGACATGCTCCTCATGCAGCGCATCCCCGAGGCCCGCATCGACGCCGAGCGCTACCTCAACATGCGCTTCCACGGCAGCGACACCCCACTCATGATCCAGGAGACCGCCGCCGGCGGCTACCTCGAGGCCTTTAAGGCCGCCCACCAGAAGCAGTTCGGCTTCCTCCCCGTCGGTAGAGACGTCATCATCGACGACTACCGCGTCCGCGCCATCGGCCGCACAACCGTCAAGCTGCCCACCCCCTGGCCGGCCGAGCTCGCCGCGCAGAAGGCCGTCCCGGCGCCCGCGGCCAAGACCACGAAGAAGGTCTACTTCAAGGGGCTCGGATGGGCTGACACGCCGGTGTACGGCCTTGCCACGCTGGCGCCGCACTCGCGCGTCACCGGCCCCGCGCTCATCATGGACGACAAGCAGACCATCGTCGTCATCCCCGACGCCGCGGCGACGGTGCTCTCGGAGAACGTCGTCATCGACGTCAAGGTCGGGACCAAGGAGACCATGTCTGCGACGACGGTCGACCCGATCCAGCTGTCCATCTTCGGCCACCGCTTCATGGGCGTCGCCGAGCAGATGGGCCGCGCGCTGCAGAAGACGAGCGTCAGCACCAACATCAAGGAGCGGCTCGACTTCTCGTGCACCGTCTTCTCGCCCGAGGGCGGGCTGGTCGCCAACGCGCCGCACGTGCCCGCTATGATTGGCAGCATGGCCTTTGCCGTCAAGTGGCAGATTGACCACTGGGCGGGCAACCTAAAGCCGGGCGACGTCATCCTGTCGAACGCCCCCGTCTGCGGAGGCACCCATCTGCCCGACCTGACGGTCATCACCCCCATCTTCGACGCCGAGGGCAAGAAGATCATCTTCTGGACCGCCTCGAGAGGCCACCACGCCGACGTCGGCGGCATCCTCCCGGGTTCCATGCCGCCCAACTCCAAGGAGCTTTGGGAGGAGGGCGCCGTCATCAAGGCGTTCAAGGTCGTCGAGGGCGGCGTATTCAAGGAGAAGGAGCTCACCGACCTCCTCATGGCACCGGCCCACTCCCCAGGCTGCCAGGGAACCAGATGCCTCCGCGACAACATCTCCGACATCAAGGCCCAGGCCGCGGCAAACCACCGCGGAAGCCAGCTGATTCACTCCCTAATCGAGGACTACGGCATCGACGTCGTCCAGTTCTACATGGAAGAAATCCAGGGCGCCGCGGAGCGCGCCGTCCGCGACATGCTCAAGACGATCCACGCCCGCACCGACGGCACGCCCCTTTCCGCGATCGACTACATGGACGACGGCACGCCGATCCAGCTCAAGGTGACCATCGACCCGGCGACGGGCGGCGCCGTCTTCGACTTCGACGGCACCGGCCCCGAGGCGTACGGCAACTGGAACGCGCCCATCGCCATCTGCAACTCGGCCATCATCTTCGCGCTGCGCTGCATGGTCGACGCCGAGATCCCGCTCAACCAGGGCGCCATCCGGCCCATCGACGTGCAGGTCCCCGAGGCCTCGCTGCTGCGCCCGACCGAGCACGCCGCCGTGTGCGCCGGCAACGTGCTCACCTCCCAGCGCGTCGTCGACGTCATCTTCAAGGCCTTCGGCGCCGCCGCCGCCAGCCAGGGCTGCATGAACAACCTCACCTTCGGCACCGACGACCCAGAGACCGGGTTCGGGTACTACGAGACCATCTGCGGCGGCGCCGGCGGCGGCCCGACATGGGACGGCGTCAGCGGCGTGCACACCAACATGACCAACACGCGCATCACGGACCCGGAGTCGCTCGAGCGGCGGTACCCCGTCATCCTGCGCCGGTTCTGTCTTCGGGAGGGCAGCGGCGGTAAGGGTGCCCACCCGGGTGGTGACGGGATCATCAGGGATATCGAGTTCGGCATCCCCATCAAGGCGAGCATCCTCAGCGAGAGGCGGTCGTTTGCGCCGTACGGGCTGAGGGGCGGTGAGGACGGCCAGCGGGGACGTAATGTGTGGATCAAGAAGAGCGGAAGGGTCGTGAACCTGGGCGGTAAGAACACCGCCATGATGGAGGCGGGCGACCGCATCGTTGTCATGTCGCCTGGCGGTGGCGGCTGGGGCAGGCCCGAGGATCGGGTCCAGGGGGAGCAGAAGCAGGTGAATGGGTTTGTGGGCGTGGCGAACGGGACGGTTGATATGATTCAGAGCATGGGAGAGTCTGCCTAAAAGGGGCGGTATGCAGCGAGTAAATCACCATTTGTTTTTTGGAGTTGGTAAAGGGATAATTGGTCTATGGTAGCATATTTGAAATCTATGATATTATTTTACTTTTCGTCCAGTGGCTTACATTACGTATGAGGGAACCAATTAAGCCTCCATACTCGTCTCATCCGACTCCATGTATGACTATCGCTCTGTCTGGATGTCTTGAGCCGTTTGTGGTTCTTCTCTCTAATATATTCAGCTCGTCGCTGTTATTTGTCTTTTTCTTCCCCGTTCTCCCCTGACACTGATCTCATCACTCTCAGCCACAAACCTCCAAGTTGATGTTAGCCATGAACAATTATAGAGAAGATGGCATGGTGATAATTCAAGTCGGGTGGCCCCTTAGAGACACTCGTACTGCTCTGTCACTCGATAACTTGTCCAGGGTCTTTGAAAGGGACCATCATCACTAGGCTCTCCACGATGATCCACAGCCCCGTATGCATGCGCGATATAATGCCATCTCTTTGCAAGATCTTCAACACCTCAACACAACCAATCAGCGCCGATGGTTTAGTGGTAAAATTCTCCGTTGCCATCCAGCAGCGTCGGGGAGCCGGGGGTTCGATTCCCCCTCGGCGCAATCTTTTGCTAGTTGAGGCTATTCGCAACTCTGATTGATGCTTAATCTTTTTGCTCCGTCCTCTGCGGCAAGACCACGCAGAGAAATCACATGTTCTAGAGAGGTATTAATGTTTTTAGGTTTGATTTCATTATCTGATGAGATCTGATTGATTGGGATTACGCAGCCTGCCTTTGCCGCTATAAGAAGACTATTAAGATGTTTAAGATATTCCTCTATTTTGAAGGTTGTTCCCACAGTGCCCATAAGACTCCTCGCACCCCGCACAGTCCACCCCACCAGATCCAGCAGTGACAGTACCCCGCCATCCCGCAGCAAACGCGCCGTCTTCACCGACGCGACTCGCAATACACCGACGACAGCTTCACCACCAACGAAAACATGTCGTCACACCAGCGGTCATTCTCTCACTCCCAGGCCGGCGGCCGGGAGAAGACCTACTTCGAGCAGCAGCGAGAGGAACTGATTGGAGAAATCGCAATGGTGAGTATCCCTTTTCCATGTCAACAAATAGCAGCTGACACTGAAAATAAACAGAGCTTCGAGCATGTCCTCGCCAACATCAACAAGCTGAACCGCTCCCTCGAGGCCGTCATCACGGTAAGACTGTCCACCTCCGATCGTTGCGACGTATGACACTGCAAGAAATTGAGCACAAGGGCTGATGTTTTCGCCAATGCAGGTCGGCAACGAGTTCTCCTCCGTCGAGGCCCTGTGGTCGCAGTTCGAGAACGTCATGGCAAAGGAACCCGAGCAGCAGCCCAAGGAAGGCGAAGGAAGCAACGACGGCGATGCGAAGAGCGAGGCGAGCTCATGAATTGATACCCCCATACATACACCGGAAATGATAATGATATACGACATCGACTGGATGCTCGGCTTGCTCTTCAACTCGATGCGATATGCGTGCCCCAAAGGAGGCAACGTTGCCGACTTTATCACCAAAACCGCATCCTGGACCAGTTGACAGCCCGCAGATTGCCCCATAAACTCGTCTCACACCCATTCTCACTCGCCTCTCTCTTCGTCATCGCATCAACCACACGCTTGACGCCCCGTATCATCCCTTCAAGTCCCTTCTCCTTAAACCCCCTCACCTCCCCAGCCGCTACAGCACACTTTGTCGCCGTAGACATCAATACCTTCTCCATCTCAAGAGCGTCCCTCATCAGCACCTTCTGCTCCATCCAAAAATCTCTCCCCCGCTTATGCGCCTCCAAGACTTCCGTGCGTGGTGGCTCCCCCTCATGCCGCACCTTAATACAGATCTTGGAATCACTGTACTGGTACACCTCAACCTGCCGCTCCCTCAGCTCGGAGACGACGGCCCACGGCTCGTTGGCCCTTTCCCTGAGCGCCTCAAGCGCCCTCCGGATGGCACTGACTATCCCCCTGGTCAGCTCGCACCGCAGCCTGGCGGACTCAAACCTGTACATCACCCCTGATAGAAGCCCACGCAGCTTGGCCTCTTGCTCCCTCCGGGCAGCCTTGGCGTTCTCTCCGAGGGTCTTCCCCAAAAAAGCGTACGCCCAGGGCACTTTGCATTCCCTCGCGAAGGCGGCCACACGGCGCAGCTCCTCTTCGGCCCTCTCGACGTTCGCCGCGCACCGCGCCGTGAGATGATCATTTTGGAACAGGACCTCACGCTGTTGGCGGATTACGTTCAGATGCTCTTCGCACGCCGTCATCTCGTCATCGACGTACACCATGAGACAAAACGGGTCATCTGAAAATGGGCCGCCATTAGATGTATCGGTGCCGGCGGTTGCTCTTTTTGAGCTGGCGTTGTCTGAATATAAGCAGCCATTACTTGTGGTAGTAGCGGTGGTGCTGTTGGAGGTTATTGATAGTTTGTCGTCGTCTGCAAAAGGGCCGCCATCAGTTGTGGTGGTGGCGCAATCTGTGGTCGTGGTGCCTGTGGTTGTGGTGGAGCCTGCATCGCTGCCGCAGCCTGAATGGCAGTAACCAGATCGAGGGAGATCGGCAAGTTGAACTTGGGTAGATGACATGATGTGCAAGGATCTGCTAGAGGTTGTGGTGGTTTGTTTGCTTTAGATTGATTGACAGATGGGGTGTTGGCCAACATGGAATTCTTAATCCTCGTTGCAAAATCCCATCTATCTATACATATGGTCCTTCAGTCCCATTTCTCCGATGGTCTTGCTGCTCATAACTCTCATCAACCTCAATAGCATCGCCGAACTCAAAATTACTATCACAACGGAGCAGTGCATAATTCACGAATAATAGAATCATTATTAGACTTTGCTACTTTTCACATTTCATACTACACACACATTGCGAACCTTGGAAGCCATTGAATTTTGATGCTTTTGACATTTCATGTTTCCTATCCCTGGAATGCCCTATCAAGACAGAAAACCCGATGCTACAGGAAAGAAAAAAAGAAGATAGGAAATAGAAAAGTTCCCACTTGGTTTAATACTGTTGGATACAGAAACCCATCAAGGTCTCTCCGTACCCGCTCCGTTTGTGTCGTGTGTAAAGGGTATGGATTGAGTCTGCAACTCAGGTCTCACCACCTTCCCTCCGCGTTCCCCCCTATATACCGTTCTTCTCCCCCTGAGTCAAAAGAAAAAAACACACATCCCACGTCCCTGGTGAAGGGAAAGTCGTCCCCGGTCTAGAGTTCATCCAGCCCCCAGGACAGGAGACGCCCCCTTCGCTAATGGCGGCGCATGCTTTCCAGATCGTAATAGTAGCAGGTCGTGACGAGATCATGCAGATAAAACAAAAGTCATTCATTACGCCCTCCGCCTTCCTATGCCTTGTCGTTACAGTCGTCAAGACTTAGAGGATCTTGCAATTCCTCTTCTTCTTCTTCTTAAGAGGGCCGACGCCGGGGATGCCACCGCTGCTGCTAGGGGCACCGTGTGACGAAGAGACGGCGGCCTGGGCCTCGAGGTTTTTGCGGTCGTTGGCGACAACGGTCAGGATGGCCTGCTCAAAGATCTCGTCGACACCAGTCATCTCCTTACTACTGCACTCCATGTACTGGGCGCCCATCTTGCGGGCGACGGCACGACCTTGCTCCGTCGTCACAGGGGTTAAACCTTGTGTCTTGAGCATATCGATACATGTCTTCTTGAAGCGCAGGTCTGACTTGAGGCCGACGAGGACCAGAGGGGTGTATGGGCAGAAGTGGAGGACTTCAGGGTACCACTACGATGATAACAAATTAGCATTAGCGGGAGGAAAAACGGGGTCCGCCCGATAGGAGGGGCATTGTTATCAGAGGGGCGTACCTTGTCCATGACGTTTTCTAGCGAGTTGGGACAGTCAATCGCAAAACACACGAATATCAGGTCCGTCTCCGGGTAGGAAAGTGGTCGCAGTCGGTCGTACTCCTCCTGACCGGCCGTGTCCCACAGCGCCAGCTCCACGGTCTTACCAGACGGCGGGTGCGTCGGGTACGTGATGTAGTTTTCAAAGACGGTGGGGACGTATTTCTGCGTCGCCATGGTCAGCATTGTTTTGATTCATTTCGGTTGCCCGAAGCGCCAAATGGGCAGGGATAGCGTTGCGAACCCAGCAGCGACGAAGTGCGGTGATGGGACGAAATTGGGATGGCATTTTTCTGTGCGGTGCCTTACCTCTGGAAAGTAGCCTTGGCTGTAGCTGATGAGAAGACAAGTCTTGCCGCAGCCGCCGTCGCCAACGACGACAATCTTCTTGGAGTAGGCAGGGCCCTCGGTGACGTGGGTTGCGGCGCTCTCGCGCCCTGTGGAAGAGCTCATTGTGGTGCTGACGGTGCCGTCGCTGCTCCTAAGGCGCGTGTTGCGGCGGGAGGTGGTCGGGCGTCCCAGGCCGTCGTCGTACTTTTCGCTGAAGGTCTGGGACGAGGAGTACTGGTGTGAGGAGCGTTGGTATGAGGACGCCATAATGCGGCAGACTCAAATGTGTGATGGTGTGGGTGTTGTGCGACGACAAACTAACGTTGTTTCGCGGCGCGGCCCCTCGTTGCGTGATGCGGGTGCGTTGTTGTTGATTATGATGAAGTGTAGGTGTGTGGTAGGTAGGGGCCGGTCGTTCGTCTGAGGGGGAGGGGTTGTTGAGGGGGGAGAAGACGAAAGTTGTGACTTATGCGAATGTTGTCTGGGCTGTAGATGTTTCCCCGGGTACAGATTAGAAAGCGGTGGTGTGGTACGGATAGTTAGTTGCTTTTTCTCCAACCTCTCGGTTTCCTCGAATGTGGCGGTCGTGCTGCTGCGTTCAGTTCAGTCGGATACCGTTGAGATACGGTTCTGGTTCGGCATGCGGTGCGGGCTAGAGGACGTTGCGGCGTTTGGATTGAGGAATGTTGGAGAAGGTGTGTTGATCTGATCAGCTCGGGATTGTGTATTGTATGGGGGTGGGTTTGTGTGCGAGAGGTGTGGATGGGCGGGTTGTGCTGTTCTTGAGGAGAGCGGACGGGAGCAAGGAGGGCAAGTGTAAACAAGTCGACGGGGCAACCAGCCACTTCTTGCCGGGGTGATGACGGCAGGCGGGTTGCGAGCGGCCAGGCGTCGAGAAGCCTGATTAGGGACCCACGGGCCAACAGCGACCTGCACCGACGCCTGAGAAAGGTGGAGCCTGTTTAGCGGCGGATCAACTGCAATCCCTGACAAGCTTGGTTGGCCCCTGTCGTCTGACGCACCGCCCAGAAACATTGGATCGGAACATCTCAGCTATCATCAGTTTATCCGGTCGAGGAACGGCCAATTCGCATTCCGGCGGGCGGCAGCAGCTGTGGGTGGCCCGAGCTCCACCCCACCACCGCCTCCTTCAAAATCGCGACGTGAATTTTTCCACAACGAACGCGTCCACCTTTCATCACTGCTTCCGCTTGCCACCAGCATTGAGGAAGCAAGAAAGCCTCGAGAGCGAGAGCTGCATCACCACACAGAGGAGCAACGCCTCACACATCTGCTTTCACTCGAGAGCAGTGCCACCTGCCAAGGGACGCAGCATTCTCAGCAGCCCTACACTGCCAGAGACTGAGGCAAAAATCTCGCCGCAACCATGGACACCAACGGGGACGCCCAAAGCAAGTACATTACTCTGGTCTCTAGTGATGGCTTCGAGTTTGTCGTGCTGCGCGAGGCTGCCCTGATCAGCCCCGCGATCAAGGGCATGTTGGATCCCCGCAGCCAGTTCCGTGAGGCCACCTCGGGACGCTGCGTGTTTTCAGAAATCAGGTAAGCTACAAGTCTCTTTCTTTCTCAGGAACACAAAGCCATCAATATGATGATCTCAAATTTATTTCGCTGTGTTCTTACTGACAGACCGCTGCTGCAACGGCTGGTCTGCTTGATTGCCAACTACACTTGATCTGAAACAAACCCAACATTCCTTTTTTCCTCTTCCCACGCTGGTTTCCCAGCCACACACATACATACGCAGCACAATCCTTCCGCTTTCTTCTGTCCGCGTTCTGGAAGAATCTAACCACCGGGTTCCCACAGTGGCGTTGTCCTCGAAAAGGTCTGCGAGTATTTCCAATACTGGTACCGCTACCGGGAGCGTGAAGACGTCCCAGACATGGACATTCCCGTCGAGCTCTGCCTCGAGCTGCTGGTCGCCGCCGACTACCTGGGCCTGGACAGTAAGACAAGACCCTCCCCAGCCTCCTCCACGGGTTGTCTCGGCCGCAACGGTTCTAACACTGCTTCCAGAACAGAACACCGGCTCCTTGTGATGACTGTTATGAAACAATCCATGTGATTTAGGCTTGCTATCACGGAGTTCTGGGCGTTTGAGCATGACGGCAAAGGCACACTGGGGAAAAGATACCACTGCTACGCCATACTGACGAATTCATGCCGAAGAGGCAACTTTTCTTCTCTTTTTCGGTGATGACCAAAAACGTGTTTCGCTGCGTCAAATGCGACAGCACCCCATCTTAGCATATGCGTTCCTCCCTACACTCCTCCGTGGGCTGAACGTCTAAAATAGATGGAAGATTGAATCCATTCCACTCACTCTGCTCGACTCAGGTTCTTCCATTGAGATCTACGCTTTTTCTGTTGGGATACATAGTTTCACAATAGCCCTCCCGTAGCTGGGTATAATACAAATTTCATCATCAGATTCTGCTCCAGGTGTTCGACTTTCGTACAAAAAGTGATGATGTACTCTAATGCCAACCTCGGCCTCTGCCCCTTCCCCGACCTCTACCGCCTCGACCACCTCGTCCGCCCCTGTGAAAGCCTCTTCCGCCGCCTCGGTGTCCTCTAAACTCCCCAGCAGGCGGTCCCCTGGCCTTTCTCTCCAGGCGCTCCTCCTCGCTCGCGTCCCAAATGTTTTGAATCTCCAGCAGCTCGCAGAACGCCGCCGTCTGCGGGCTGGTGTACTCAAACGGCTGGTGCGGCACCGACTCGGGCTCGCCCTCGGTGTGAGGCGGCGCCGTGATCTCAAAGTTGAGCGGAACGTCCAACTTGCCCTTGGCGACGACGTTTTCCTCAACCCACTTGCGCTCGGCATCAATGAGCGGCGCGTAGTGCTCCTCGCCCAGGTCCTGCGGGGTATGCGCCGACGGGTCCCCGATCTTCAGCGTCGGGTGGAAGACGCGGGTGATGGCGAGCCACTCGGGGTCGTACTGCAGACGGAAGGGGCGGGCGGGCGCAGGCTGGTCGGCGGGGAGGACGTTGTGAGGGCGCGCCTCGAGGAGCTGGAGGAAGTGCCGGCGGGGGAGGCACTTGTCGAGGGCGAGGAAGTTGACCTGCTTGTTTGTGATGGTGGGCGGGACGGGTTGGCCCGGCGTCCGCTTGACCTGCGGTTGGGGGCGGGCGAATGATGCGGGAAGCTGGGCGCGCAGTTCTTCGGAGACGGTGTTCTTGATGACGGGCTCCGGCTTGCTGGCCGGGGCATTCGCAGCAGCGGCTGACTCGTCGTCTTCGTCTTCGTCGAGATCAATCTCGTTCGGGTTCGTCTGCGTAATCGGTGGTGCGTCCACAACATCCTCATCACCATCCAAATCAATCTCATCCGGATTTCCCTCTGGTGCCGC